TAAAAACCTGTAGTACTTCTTTAGATCCATTCACGCTGCAATTCAGTCACCTGTCACCCCCACCACCCCTGGATACTTTTAGATTAAAAGTAGGATAACAAGCCAGTGTAGTAGTGCACACCTTTAATCCAGAGGCAGGCAGATCTCTGAGTTCGAGGACAGCCTGGTCTACAGAGCGAGTTCCAGGACAGCCAGAGCTACACAGAGAAATCCTGTGTCTCAGGAAGGGAAGAAAAGGGAAAAAAAGAAAAAGAAAAAAAGAAAAAGCAGGATGGCAACTTCTGATACTTGATTAGACATTACAATTTGCCAGGAAAAATAGTCATTTCATTGGGGAATGGTACTTGTTTCTCCAAATTATCTTAGAAAAGTTTGTTCTAAACTAGAATGGACTTCCATGTTGTGGCCCTGACCAAGACACCCTCCCCCCCTTCTTAGCTTCCTGGCCCTCAATAACCCAACCTAGAGATTAGAGAGACAGAAAATGTATGGGCAACAATCCAAAATGTACTTTAACTGCTGAGATCTAACATTTTATATAAGGCAGTGGTACTAACAAATGACTTGCAATTTTTGATTTTTATGGTAATATTCTCTTTTGCTTAGTAACAATTTTGTGGTAGGTGACTAAAGATATCTTAATTTAGTTTTATGGAAATCTGCACGAAAATCTGCTAAGTAGCAGCCTTGCTAATTATAAAATACCCACCTTGCTGGAGTGTGGCAGCACAGGCCTTTAATCCTAGCACTCAGAAGGCAGAGGCAGGGGGATCTCAATGAGTGAGACCAACTTGGTCTATATAGCAGGCTCTAGGGCAGCTAGGGCTAAGAGACTGTCTTAACAAAACAACAGAAAACCCCAAACAATGACCACCAAGTCGGAAAAGCAGCCTCAGAGGGCTGCAAGAGTGAGCGAATGCTCACACCCCCCTTGTGCTCAAGGCAGGGTCCCTTTGCTAGGGATGCACACGTAAGCTTGAGAACCTTTAAGACGACTCTTAAACCCTTAGTTCTCCACTTAGCTTGACACGGTGCACCACAAAAGGAAAAGTGCTCAGCTTTCAACTCAGTGTCCCTTCTACAGAGAGACACGAGAATCCTTTATGCAGTTGCTTATGCAAGGAATACTTCAGAGTGTAATGAAGGCAACTATGCTTTCATGTTTGTTAGTTCTTTCCTAGTAACACACTTCTCATTGAACTATTTTATTTAAACAAAACATACCGCAAAGCTTTTGATTTTTGTTTTTCCTTAAAGGTGAGGTCAAGTGACATAAAGATACAAAAAAAGAAATCAGTGTGCACAATCTATTTCTAGTCAACACTGTCATCAATCCAGAAAGATTTAAATAGGGGAATAATAATTTACAGAAGTTCTCTTTCTAATTTCAATAACTCCCATTGCTAACAACTGAAATGCTTGGCAGACTCACACTGAAAATAATCTCAGGTTGGGCAGCTGTGATAAAATCATGACTGAACAGCTGCCAAATCCACCCTCACTTACCTAGTCTCATCATTACCTCCCCCAATAATGCCTCAAATAAAAACCAAGATGAGTCAAACACAATTTTAAAATATGGGAGCTAAAAGTCCAACTAGCCAGGCTTAGGAACATCACCCACCGAGAACCTGGACATTTTACGATTTCCCAGCGAGTAGCACATAGTCCCCCAGCATAAACTACAATGGCTATAACCAGCCAGTGACCACCCTTCCTTCCTAGAAACTCACTTTACAGTTTCTTCTTGCCTAAGTTACAGAAAATTAAAGTCTTACATTTGGCAAACTACATGGAAGCAAACCACCCTTCCTCTGAAGTTCACTTTCATCTTCTATGAAGCCAGCAGAGCCCAGCCCTTTGCTTGGGATGTTACCTGATAGACATGGTAGGGTATGGCTTTTGTAAAATACACTTGAAAAGCGTTACATTAATTTTTAAAAAAGATTTATTATGTGTACAGTGTTGTCTCCACGTATCCCTGCAGGCCAGAAGAGGGCACCAAATCTCATTACAGATGGTTGTGAGCCACCATGTGGTTGCTGGAAATTGAACTCAGGACCCCTGGAAAAACAGCCAGTGCTTTTACCCTCTGAGCTATCTCTCCAGCCCTGTATGTTAAATGTTGTAAGCCAACATGACACCTGAATTTAAAATACTGGTTCTATGGAAAAAGAAGCCATGGTTCTGAGTGATCCGAACCAGGATGGTTAAGAAGTATGTGGACTACAACAACAGTAAGTGCATTTCAGTCATGTCAGCCATCATGCATACATGCTTCCAACTGTCCTAAATATTCCTAGATATACACCTACTAAAGAAATTTTCTGTTTTTCAGATTTAAAAAACAATCAGGGAGATAGCTCAGTAGGTAAAATACTTAACTTGCAATCACAAGAACCTGAGTTTGAGCTATAGAACCCATATTAGGAAGGGAGGGAGGGAATCGGAGAGAGCGAGTATGCTAGGCATACACTATTAAAGCCCAGCACTAACAGAGAGCCTGCAAATCCCCTGGGACTCACTGGCCAAGACACCTTCTCTGTGAGATCCAGTTCAGTAACCTGGATGGCTCCTGAAGAATGGCTCTCATAACTGACCTCTGGTCTCCACATGCACACATGCCCAAGCGAACAAGCATCTAGACTCACGGACCCAAACAAAAACAGACACTCAAAACTACTTGAGAAACAATCCTCCCAAAGGAGACAGCTGGCACCAATGACCTAAGGTTATCGGTAAGGTGCAATCCCAGAGATCATAAAATTTGGTTAGCTCTGGATTTGAAACCTGCCATTTTGCAGGGACAAGAGTCAGAAACTGAATAGTTTAATGAGAACATTTTTCTCACTTGCAAAGGGTAGAATGCCTGCGTCCTGTGGTTTTGAGGATTGGAAATAAGGGGCCTAGCCAGGCGGTGGTGGCACATGCCTTTAATCCCAGCACTCAGGAGGCAGAGGCAGGCAGATCTCTGTGAGTTCAAGGATAGCCAGGGCTACACAGAAAAACCCTATTGTGAAAAACCAAAAAAAGAAAAGAAATAAGGAGCCTAATGCAATGGTGGGCAAGAGTAAACAGGTTCTCATATAATTGGTAGTTCTTAAAAAAATTCAAACTTTTTTTTTTCTTCATGAGACATAGTCTGTGTTGCCCAGGTTAGGCTTGAACTTGTGATCCTCCACCTCAATCTCCCAAGTAGCTGGGAGGAACGCCATATCCAACTCCTGGTATCATTTTTACAACTGAACAAACTCAACTACACCACTACCCAAGAGCTGCCCTCGTATCTACTAAACTTGGTTAACGGCCTATGATATCAAGATAGCTAGCTAAAAAGAAAAGAAAATCTAGTCCGGGTGGGCGCGGTGGGCGCGGTGGTGGCGGTGGTGGTGGTGGTGGTGGTGCACGCTTTTAATGCCAGCACTGGGCAGGCAGATCTGAGAATTAGAGGCCGGCTTGGTCTACAGAGTAAGTTCCAGGACAGCCAGGGCTACACAGAGAAACCCTGTATCAAAAACAAACAAAAATCTACACACAGGCCAATCTCATATTATTGTCATTAAAATATGTATAGTACATTCCAACAAAGAGGAAATATTTAAAAATGAAAGTTTAGGGGGAAATAGCATTTTGTTATACCTTCAACTGAAGAGTTACTCTTAAATTAACAATCCATTTACACTAATATGGCTCATGTTTTAAACTATTGTCCCAACTGATTTTGTGATGTGTTAACAATTACACTGAGGTGATTAAAAAAAAGTGTTAAGCAGAGGAAGTAAAAATAAAGTTTAAAAAAATTTACAAAACTACACACCCAGTAGCAAGTGAGTACATGTATGTGCACTCTTGTGACCCAGCAAGCAGGCTGCATGCCATGGCACATGGGCACATGTGTAGAAGTCAGAGGACAATTTTTGGGAGTTGGTTCTCTCCTCCACCCATGGTTCTGGGGATAAAACTCAGGTTATATGGCTTATGTGCAAGCTTTTTGACCCACTAAAGCTATCTTACAGGCCAGCCCCTCCCCCTACTGCACTGGTGATGGGGAATCAAACCCGGAACTTTAAACACACTAGGTAGATACTCATCCCCTTCAGCACTATCTTTAGCCTATGAAAACTCATGTTTTCAGCAGTCCGGCACAGTGTCAACTAGAACTAATGATCTGACCAAAGTATTCTGTGGTGTGTGTCTTCATGCTCTTGTGTTCATGCTCACGGAGGCCACAGATGGATTCTAGGTGTCCCTTCAATCACCCTCCACCCTATCTTCTGAGACACTCTCACTGAACCTGGAGCTCTCTTATTCAGGTAGGCTGGCTGGACAGCATGCTCCAGGGATGAAGGAATTAGACATGGACGACCATACGTAGCTTTCTGGGTGCTGGGGAATCAAACTCAGGTCCTCATGCCCGCATAGCAAGCGCTCTGAGTGACCCATCTCTCTAAGTCCCCGGAGAACATTGTTTTATTTAGTTGCATCTGACCACCTAAAGTCCTACAGACATGCTATTATATTAGGCCTATCATCACACTCCTCTGAGTAATTATCTTTGCGAAACCAGACATCTGACTTTAAGTTAAGAAAGTTTATAGAAAACAACAAGAATCAGATGTTTAAGCCTTCTCACCTTTTCTTCACTGTGCAATAGGCCATTTCTACAGATATAAACAGTAGGTGGATACTTTCTAAGTACACAATAAGAGGGAGAGGCTGGAGGGATGGCTCAGCAATCAAGAGCACTGGCTGCTCTTCCAGAGGACCCAGGTTCAATTCCCTGCACCCATAACTGTAACTCCAGTGACAGGGGATCTGACAGACCCCTTCCTTTGGCTTCCAGAGGCACTGCATGCAAGTGGTGCACAGACTTACATTGCAGACACACCCCCACCCACCACCCACCACACACACACACACACACACACACACACACACACACACACACACACAAATAACAAGTTGAAAGGAACACAAAAAGATCAAACTAAAAGCAGAGGTCTGGGTACATGAACATATTCACATACATATATACAGACTGAATTTCCACACCCCACAAACAGGCTTAATTTACAAAGAAGAGGTATACATTTCTTAGTGTGTACATCAGTAGTTCACTAGCTAAAATGTTAGGTCAGAATACTGTACTAACATTTCAGAGCTACTCTCGTTCGATCCCATTAAAAAAAGAAAAAAGACATTCCAAATAAGCATATTCTTCTAACAGCAAAGACTCTTCCCACTTTTTTATTTTGACATCATGATAGTTCCATAAATTTAAAGTGGAAGATAGCTGTTCAATAAAAGCCATTTCATATATATAATATACAGAAGTTATTTTAAAAGTCTGTCATACAACAGATTCATTTGGTGCTACCAAAAACTTGCGATACAAATAAATGACTACAAATGAAATCATCACTAAACCAAGACACACAGGAACTACACTTTTCCTTTCAGGGGAAAAAAATCCAAATAATTTCTACCATGTTAGAGGAACCAAGTTCATCTGTCAGTGTGCATTATCGTAGTCCCTTGAAGCAGGGACTCCTCAGAACCTTTAAATTTAAAAATGTTCAGGCATAATTCTGTCTGTACATTCAGGAACAATCAAATTCTGATTACATATAATTCTTTCATCGTGCAAAAGAGCCTCAGTTAATTGTTTTCTAAGGTCTAAAGTCAAGTGAACTAATATTAGCAATTTCCTGACCAAGCTGTCAGAGAGGTACAGAGAGACCAGGCTGCTTAGCTGTCCTTCCTGCTGTGGCATGGCTACTTCACCTATTCCTTCATGTTCAGAACTAGCAGGGGTCAAAGGGAGACTTCGTCACCGCAGCCTTCTCACAAGGCTGTGAGAGAAGAGTTTCTCACGCCCAACAGCCTTTGCCACCCCAGAATACAATCTTTACAACTGTCTGTGCACAGGCAGAAGGGCGCAGGGAACAAGAGCAGGGTAAGACAGGTCCATAAATAAAGGGACGGCTAGGATAGCACACGGTATAAAAACCTCATCTGAAGTCTGCCCAGCGCACCCAAACAAGCAGAGCAGATGTCAGTGCAACTTGAACCTGGTCATTTATTTGAGTGAGGTTGGGAGTGGGGGAAACCAGTTTGGATGAAAAGAAGTTCATTCCTTTTGAGAACAAAGAAAATCAACAGGAATTTTAAAGGTCTCAATCAGAAAATGAACAGTAACTCTTAAGACTCCTTCTCAACTAGCCAAAACATGCTAAAGATAAATGTCAAAAAATATCTTTCTGCCTAAATATTTATCTACCAATATATCCCACTGTTCCAATAGGCTTTTGATTGAAAGAAGAAAAAAACATCAAACTAACCTTCAAACATTTTATAAGAGGTACCTTCATCTAGAAGTGACAAAAATAAATTAGTTTCCCCCAGTGACATTATTTAATCTCTAAAGCATAAAAAGCTATATAATATCATATACAAATTAACCAGTGTTCTTACAAAAGTAAAGCAGTTTTGGACTAATGACATTACACTGTATTTCTGGTGAAGTATGAGGCACAAGAATATATGCATTAATTAGGCATTTTCCGTCTAATCAGTCTCTATGGTTATCACTTAATTCTTGGCAATGTGTAACTGGTGTGTATTTTGGTACATAAGTCACGAATTGTAGAGAACAAGAAGCAGTGTGGTATAGTAACAAGGTTTGTATTGGACAAACGACTGACTGCGTTGCTGAACACATTTCTTTTATGAACTTTGTGATTTGTTTTGCAGATGGTCACTTGTGGTAGATCCTGCAAAGATAAAAGGAGAAAAAAAATCAGTATAATTTGATATTACGGTTTGAATATGAACTGTCTACAGGCTCATGTGCTGAAGGATCGAGTCTACTTTGAGAGGTACTAGAAAAGAGGCCGAGCTTAAGCTAGAGGAGCAGGACATTATCCCAGTAGTTACACTGTGCCCTGGCCCGCCTTGCTCCTGGTCACTGTGATGTGCTCTGCCTCACCAGAGGCCCATGGGGACAGTCTGGTCACATGCACTGAAAACTCAGACTGTGAGCCCCTCCCTGAAATCCTCTTAGGTTGTTTCCTCAGGTTTTTAATCAAAGCAAAGAAAAACTATGACAAATTCTGATATTAACTACCCAATTTGAAACTCTTCCTCTGGCATGGGTAATAAACAAGTATAAAAAATTTATTTTTATTTTTGTTGTTCGAGACAGGGTTTCTCCGTGTAGTTTTGGTTCCTGTCCTGGATCTCACAGAGATCCGCCTGGCTCTGCCTCCCGAGTGCTGGGATTAAAGGCATGCAGCACCACCACCGCCGCCTGGCGCAAATATAAAAACTTTAACAGCTCAGTAAGGTGTGTTTCATGTAGGCTAAATGAGACTGATTTGGAAGAATCTAAACATACCATTAAATATTATAAAAGTAGGAATATATGTGGAGGCAGGACAAATAGGCTTCAGAATAGATACTGGTATGTAATCGTAGGAAGAAAGTTAAGTTTTATAGCTCCAACTAACTACCTGATACTAAAAAAATTCACATAACCTGCTAACTATAAAATAGTAACTTCAGAGTCTACACAGTTCTCTCTTTATGGAAATAGAAATAAATGGAGGGATAAAGAAAAAAGGAAGAAGAGGGAAAAGAAGAAGGGAGCAGAAGATGAAGGCAACTGCCCACATTTAAAATAGAGTACGTTTCACAGAACATGGAGGCTCTAACGGTTGGTTAAGAAGTGTTAAGAGGGGGCTGGAGGGATGGCTCAGAGGTTAAGAGCTCTTCCAGAGGTCCTGAGTTCAATTCCCAGCAACCACATGGTGGCTCACAAGCATCTGTAATGAGATCTGGTGCCCTCTCCTATATATAAAATAAATAAATAAATCTTTAAAAAAGAAAAAAAAAAAAAAGAAAAAGAAGTGTTAAGAGCCAAAGAGGAGAAGAGAAGAACCTTGTCTCACTGAACCTCACTCCACAGTTTTCCCCATCCTACGATGCCATGAAGTTACATTCCTATGAGAGGGTACTTTAGTTACTACTTCAGAAAACTCAGGAACCAACACAAAATTTTATATTCTGGTATACTTTCCTGGGAAAATAATCTACATATATAGTCTATGAAGTTTAGTGTCTTCTAAGCAGAGATAAACAAGAGCAGTTAATTCTCAAGAGCCATTAGACAGGTTAGTGCAGCCCTCAACCCTCATCAGAGAAGCCTCCTTATGTAGGAGAGAGTGCTTAATACAGAGACTCACAACTGTTCAAGTACAGAGAGTAAGTGACCACGGAGTGCTTGGCCCTAAAAGGGACATCTTGTTGCCTCCTCAAGGCTCAGGGAACACAGAAGACGACTGGCCAGAACTAAAGGCTGGGGAGGACTGCTGTGAATAGTCTCTTCTGGACTCTACAGGGCCATCAGACTCAGGCACCAAGCAGCTGCGGATGCCTGCACAACATCAAGCCAGTCAACATTCCAGTGTGGATGCAGGAGGGTCACAAGACCCCCCACCCCAACAGAGGAGTAACTGGCAGTTGATGGCTGCTGGGGGAGTCAGCTTTCTTCAGAGATGTGGGCTCTCACATGTCCATGTTCCAAGAGATGACCCTACACTTATGCACACGGAGGCAACACTAACTGGGTTCAGTGGGTTGAGAGGACATGAAGTTGGAAGGGGATGTGGCTGGAGGTAGTCTGGGAGGAGTTAGAAGACTTGGGGAGCTGATGTGACCAAAATACATGTAAAATTCTCAAAGAATAAATTAAAAATATTTCTGAAGAAAAAAAAGCTATGGAGAGAGGGGGAAGGGAAGGAGGGAGAAGGAGAGAGAGAGACTGACTTGTCTTTATTGTGTTGAGTTGGGTAGAGGATTTCAGCAGCAAAGGAGGAACATTCCTAACTTGTTACCACACACTGAGAGCTGACAGCAAAAGTGAATGTCTGAATGAAGCTGATGAGAAGTTACCAGAGTAGTTGATGGAACGGGCAGGAAACAAAGACTTCATGGCAATTAGGAAACATCATATCAAGTTTGTGAGTGCTCTACCACTGAAGTACACCCCAACCCCTAATGTTTAATCAATTAAAAATAGATAATAGAAAAATTTAACAGTTACTAGGATAAAGTTTGTTCAAGTTAAATACTGTAATGCTGACACTATAACCAGACATGACTTACCATCTCTTATCACAGAATTACTCCTAGTTTGCCACAAAACCTCACCAGCTTCTTTCTCAGCATGAAGAAAAGGAAGTGAATACACACACAGCTTCAGTAAATGGGTAGAATGGTCACTGCACTTCTGAGACCAGCCATGCTCAATAACCCAGGCTGGCCTGACCTCTCAGCAATCCTGGAGCCAGCAGTAGTGCTGGATGACACAGGTGCACTACCATACCTGACTCACCTTTGTCAAACAGAATCACAACTGATGACAACTAGGGCCTGGGGATACTTCAGCGGTAGATATATGTAAGACCCTGGGTTTCATCCTATACCTCAAAGACAAATGAAATAAAATATATTTCCTATGACTGTTAATTGCTAGGCTGCAGAAAGTAGTCTAAGACTTAAGAAAAAGAGAAAAAAGGAAAAGTTGGATGTGATGGTGGACACCTGGACCCAGTGCTTAGGGGCCAAGGGAGATGGAGTGGAGTTCTCGTGGGCTTCACAGCTCTTGGCTCTATCTCAATTTAAACTTAAGGGGAAAAAAGGAAATTAAAAAAAAGATAAACAAAAAACCTAGTCAATGTCGTAAATCAATACCAACACTGCAAAGATGACACACTTTTTATACCTGGAGGAATGTCAAAACAATCTTTTCTATCAAAACAGGGTTTCTGAGCAAGGCATGGGGGTTAGTGTTTGTCATCCAGGACTTGGGGACTGAGACAGGAAGACTGCTGTGATTTCAAGGCCAGCCTGTGTCACAGGACAAGACCATCTCACCCAAAGCAAAACTCCAAAACCCACATAAAACACCCATTAACAGCACTCAACAGAAAACAAAACAAAACAAAAACTGCTTTCTTTAAATGAGTTCTAAAAGTATGTTTGAGACTCTGGATTCAATTTTCAACACCGTGAAACAACAAAAACAGGTAAGAAGTTTTAAGCTTTAATTGAGATTTTTTCTTGTTGAACTAAACATGACTTCAGTCAAGCAAAATATCCTTACTTAAAGCCAAGTAAATAAGAAAAAAATATAATATATGGTTTTATCAAATTAATTTTATGCATAAAATTTATTTTGAAATTGGTCCAAGGATTGAAATTGTAGAAACACTGACACAATAAAGTAAATCAGCAAAACGTTCTGAAGAATTTTCCAGAAGTTTTGACAAAGGAAGCCCACTCTCTTAGGCCCAGAGAAGCACAGTTCCAGCGAGAGTGACACTTTTAAGGCGTCTGACCTTGATTTGGCTCTTCAATAGTCATGCTGTCTCCATCTGCAGTCTCTGACATTTCTTCATCTTCGTCCTCATCATCATGCAGGTCTTTTGAAATTAACTGTCTAGCTAATTTAATATTCAGTCCTTCGTTGTAGTGAAGCTTTCTTTTCATTTCAAACTGTCGTTTCTTTTCTAGAAAAGATTTAAAAGTGCACTGTGAGCTTAGAAGGTCTTGACTTTGGGACTGGTCCAGGCCTATTGTGTCAATGGGTCTTATTGCAAGACCCATTATAACTTAAGTTATATTCACTTAAATTGTGTGCTCAATGGCAGAGTTAGATAGTTTGTAATAAGACTATACAGCCCACAAAATCTAAAATATTTACTTTATGATTCAAATATACACCTCAATTGATGAATAGGAATGGAAAAGTCATTAGAAATTCTGTGAAGAAAATTTAAAGACATAAGAAAATTCTGTAGCAATAGGTGAATGGGAGGCAAAAGGTAAACTATAATCCTAAGTACAAAGAATGCACAAACCCCAAGGTTTCTCTATGTAGCCCAGGATGCCCTACATCTCCTAATTCTTCGGCCTCCCAAATGCTATTATTATAGGCCTGCACCAGGGCTGGAAAGACAGCAGCACATCTGGTCCACATGGCCAAGGGAAAGACCATCTCCTGCAGGTTGTCCTTTGCCCTCCACTTGAGCAAGCACACACTTGAGCACAGAAGCAGCAAAATGTGTAAACAAACCAATACAAATAAAACAGGCACACACCACACCTGATTATGACTTCTACTTTCTTTTTTTTTTTTTTTTTTTTTTTTT